ACAGAGACGTATTGACAAAAATTAAATCTAGGACTTTGTATAAGTAACTATAAACCTTTTCTGCAGGAGCTGTATGACATTTTCATGGCATTACAAGACATGGTCACAGTTCAGTCTCCTCCACATCACTGCAACATTTTTAGTCATTCAGCACATTTATTATTTATTTTAAACTGATATCTAATACCTCTTCTCTCTTCCAGCCTTTATTAGCTGATGAGCTGGCAAAATGCATTTCTTCCCTCTTTCCCATTCCTACTCTTTGGAGTGGTCACAGCTGTGACAAAGAGTTTGTGCAGCATCTCCCCTGCTGCTTCAGAGTTGACTAGAACAGAACAAGTCCATAGACGGCCCTGGAATCTGAGGCAACTTAAAAGAGATGCAGTCTCCCTTACAGCTTAGTCACAAGAATGGTAAAGTAGCAAGCCTGTGAGCTAGAACTTTGTTTTTAATGCTGGAAACTAAATCCCTGCTGAAGTTGGGGTACGGGGAGAAGACAGACTAAGCTGTGTAGATGCCAAGATATGCATGAACTGCATGTGCACATTTGTTTACATTCCAGTCTGAGCACTAAGTGTCTTCTCTTGTGCATTTGAACTGCTGTGTGGAAGTACCTGTTCATCCATTTCAGTAGGAAAGAAATGGCAACTCTGTCTCTTTCACAGGGAAGTCTTATGTTGCCATTTTTAGTTGTTGTGACACTTAATAATTTTTCCCTTGTTCTGTGATATTCTTTAGAACCAGTTCATTAGGACAGAGGGGTTGATAAAGCTTAGGCTCAAGTCATAAGCTTTGAGGCGTGTTAACGTTTTTTTCTCCCATTAGGGTTCGCAGGCAGACAACAAACCGACCCCCACCAGCCGGAGGAAGGCCTAAACCGCAGCCCAAACCTAAGCCTCAGGTCCCACAGTGCAGAGCACTGTACGCATATGATGCTCAGGACACAGATGAACTCAGCTTTAATGCCAATGACGTGATTGATATAATTAAAGAAGGTATGTAGAAATCAAAGGTTTTGTTACTCAAGCACTAATCTTGAAGGTACACTGTTGCAAGTAGTTACGACATGCCATGTTCAGCCACTGCCCCCCCTTCCCGTTATCTTCCCTCATTACACTTGCAAATTCTGTGACAGCTCAAGGAGCAGAGAAGTCTCCGCACCCACACCAATCAAACCTGTTCACTTAAAAGCACGTCAGAGGCAGATCCATGACATACGCATCACTCGGTACTGCAGATCTGTAAATTTAGTTACAGAGCAATTCTGTCACAGGCTCTGGCTGAAAATTACCCTAAACCACAGCTATAGCACAAGAACCAAAAAGTAATAAAGCAGTTCCAACTCTTTGTGTCTCCACAGCAGCCTCATAAGGCCACAGTGACTTGGCCAAAAGGGGAGCCCGTTCAGGTTTGCCAAATCATTTCTCCCCAGTCCTTCACAAGAAAGCTCTCACGGGGCGGAACAGCATTGCAAGGCTGCCTCAAAAAGTACACAGAAAGGTTTACAGAGCGCGCAACTGACTTTGCTTCTTTTGTCATAGATCCTTCTGGCTGGTGGACAGGAAGACTACGAGGGAAACAAGGGCTGTTTCCCAACAATTATGTTACGAAGATATAAATGACTATCAGACATAAATTGGCATGAAGTTACCAGTGGTTGACGATATTTTCCCTTGCCTTCAGGACACCCTTCTTCTGAGAGTGCCACTCTCAGCAGTATCTTCACTAAAGTTGCGTATGAGCAGAAGAAAATTACCCACAGCACAGACTTTGATTTTTTTCGTCTTAGAAGCATACAACAATGGACACACTGACCTATTATTTATTATATTTAAAACCTGGTTTTAACACCTAGGAAGTGAAGAATGCGCAAACCTACCATCCTCCCAAAACAGAAAGGTGCTTTGCAGTCTGGGACGGGGGACTTTGAAAGGGGTGTATTTAGTAAGTGCCTTCAGCTGAATATCAGTAACCTTTTTAATTATCTACTGAAGATAATGTTAAATGCACATGTCCTGTAATGCAGATCATTCCGGGGAACATAATGAGTATGCTGCTACACATCAAAAACATTTAGGCTCATTTGGGGTATCACCATCTAAAAACCTACTTCAATGGTGTATTTAAGTAACACTGTACAGAGTTGTAATGGAACTGGTTTGTGTTGTCTGATGTGTTTAGGGATTCCCAACAGGCACTATACAAAGTTAAAACAGAGAACCACATTGTACTGTATGCTAAACAATGTCGCCTTCTTCAAGATTTATATTATAATGTGGCTGGCCCATGTTGGATTTATGTTTAATGCTCTACCTGTTATAAGAAGTGTCTTTTATGCAGAGCTGTACATTTATAGAAACAAATCATATACTGTATATAAAAACGGAGTATGATAGAAATATGTATGAATGTATAATGTAGTATTCCACTGTTCTTATTCATGATGTTAGTTCTACTAGAAATTTTATGCCAGGTACTTACAGATATGCACTACTCCTTTTAAATGGCAAAAGCAAAGGTGTTATTGCTTAAGTCCAAGTGCCTCCCACACCAGAGCGGCTGTTGCTTGCCCTACAGTTATCAGCATTCATGCTTTGCCTTCAGACCTCCATAAAATAAACTAAACTACAGCTAAACCTGTTCGCTGAACAGGTCTCTTCTCTGTGCAGTTTGTTATGTATACAAATGGATCCCTTCACAATAACATCTGTTGGATTTTACTGCACTCATTCCTAAAGAAAAAATCCCCTTCCTATGCTCTGCTCCAAGCCACACCGTTTTCACTGTACCCAGCTGAAGTGAAGTGCTGTGCATGACATTCTTTCTTGTAAAGAGCAGTTAAAAAACCTGTGTATGATGATATTAAGAAGTCACATAAGCTTTAAGATGGGGGGAAGAAAAGGGCGGGTGGGGAAGGGGGTGGAAGGGGGGGA